GACTGATTGTCAGATAAAACAGTTTTAGTAATTAATTAGAAAGGTTCGTATTCTATAGTTTCTTTTTTCGCACAAAGTGTTAGCTGTAAATTTCCTGTTGATAACCAGTAAATAAGCAAACAACGGCTGTTTTATGCTTAAGACGTTAGAACGTTATCTGGACAGTAATTAATATCTCAGACCTTAAAATCGTTTGGTACAACAATGGGACGTATAAAGTAAACGGCAAAACAATTTAAAAAAACATCAAAAATACTGGGTTCAAGATATTGGACACGATTTTCAATTATTTTTTTCGTGAACATAATTTACTCAGTTCTACTTTGCTTTAAGAAGAGTCAACAAGACAACGTCACGTTTATTTAGTAAGTATTTATTGTAAATTTTACGTTCTTATTTTTTTGTCTACTTAATTTCTATGTATGTAATTATTAGTACGAAGATATGCGCTAACTTAGCGCAGACTGAAATCGCCTTTCTCTTTTTTGTTCTGCTAAACCGTCAGGCTTAGAATCATGTTTAGCAAAAGAAAAGAAATATTTGGTCATAGACAGCAATGATCTGTTAACGACTGTCTCATTTGTTTTTTTTTTCAGTGTTGAATGGAACAACACCGTTTTCATTGCGAAAGCCTTACTACAAAGTTTATAAGCCGATAACGCGCATTCTTGTTAAGTCCTTTGGGGGAGAGTAGGCCGCGTAAGAAACTACGACGGTGCTTTGTATGGCTTACGTTTAACTTACGAGCCTCGCAATAATTTAAAGTCATTCAGTGTGCCCATTACTGTCAGAGCTCGCTGAAAACTGAATATTAAGGCAGCGTAGAATTAGAAAACTAAAACCAAATCGGCCGTTTTGACTCACGTTTTCTACACTTCACAGAATCCGGTCATTTCACGTTGTTGTTTGGCAAATGTACCAAGATTTATGAACCACTTGTAACCTACACAACGATAGATTATCTGTGGTAGGAACATGTTCCCCAACATGGAAGCAAGCTGGCGCAGTTGTCAAAGAAACAACAAAACAAAATCATTCATTTTACATAAAAACATACTTTACAGTAAACCTTCCATTGTAATGAAAGGCTCTCAATCTCTCTTGAACGCGCTCTAGTCTCCCTCCTTCCCTCCCTAGTTCTACCCCGCCCTCCCTCTTTTTCTTTCTGCCCCCCTCCCCCAAACGTTGTCAGTCTTTGTGCCTCTTATGTCACGCTTAGCGTTGTTTAAATAACTGTGAATAATTTTGAACGAGCGATATACCTTCAATGATGTGGTTTGTAACGATGAGAACCCTTAAGAGATTTGAAATCTGTCATCTGAATAAAATCTATGAATGTTTACAGAGCAAAGTTTTGAAAACCTTTATATTCTGTTTTATACTAGTGCAGAATCGTATGTCATCCGTTTAATAGGTGATATTTTAACATGTGAAAATCATATCATGGTAAAATTAGTGCTTTTATTAACTTTGTCAGACGTAATTTTTGAAATCGCACCGGTCAAAAACGGACGCCGAGAACACTACCTGAACTGAAACTAAATAAAATTGGATTCCACGCAGGATGTCACACCGATCATCGAAGGCCTGCCGAGAAGACTACCTGTTTTAAAATGGAATAAAATTGGATTCAACCTAGGACATCTATATAAGAAAGCCCAATCGTCAAAACACCCTAACTAGTGCTTCCAATTTTAAAAGCCAAACCTTTGTCTCAGTAATTTGGACAATGTGTTAATACTAGCTGTTTGGCTGTGGAAGAAATGTTTTTTATATCGATCAAGAGTTTAATTAAAAATTGCACTATCACAACAAATTACTCTATGTAAAATTAGATTTTCGCTTGCTTATGTTAAATTTCCTTGAGGGACACCTTGCTTGCTATTGTCTATGAAGTTTCATTTTCATTATCATAGGGTAAAAATGGATTTTCAATTAGAACAATACAATATTTCTAGTAGCGAAAGAGAGAATACTGTGGGATGTCTAAACTATTTAATTATTTATGAAAACTTTTTTCATACACAAAATATTTTTTATTTTAATTTCAAAAGGAGAACCAGCTGCAGTAACAGATATTAGTGAATATTCTATTGAGAGTTGAATAAGGCCAAAGATGTCTTTTCTTCGATTGATCGCAATTGCCAACATTTTTTGGTACAATGTACAAAACCACGCCATATCTGGAATGAACAAAAATGGCCATACTTGGTTCTCGATAGGCACAAATGAAGCTTTCTCGCATTTTATCCAACATAAGAACCATGTCCTTGAGGTGGAGAAAATAAGTTCTTTTCTGGTTGGCTTCGTAACGGAGTGCGCTTTGAGGTGTACAACTCATGTTTTGTGTTTGTCATTTAACATTAAGGAAGATAACACAGAAAACAGCAGACAAATTACATGCGAGCTTCTGCCAACGGACTTGTACAACGCGTCACGGAAACTTCAAAAAAGCCGAGAAGACTTTCACCACTGGAGTGCAATAGTAAGATCTATGCTTAAATGTTTTCCTTTGCATTGTACTCGGTGATCTAATCTATCAGTATAAAACCGGACACAAGGTTATTTATAATGTATGTTAAGTCATTTTTTGTTTGGTGTTCATCGGCGCAAATTAAACTGTACTCAAAGTAGTTTCGTCACGGTAAAAGAGGCTGAGGGAAGAAAGCTTCTTCAATCGAAGATTTGAAAATGTAATTATATGGCCTTTCATCCGACACAAATAGGACCAATAAGTTCAAATTTCAGTCAACAAAATTTACTTCTCTTGAATAACCTCTCCACCTGTTAATGCTTAAATATCGAACTAGCTTAAACATACGAAAGAACATTTTGTTTTAGATTTAGGAAATTAATAGGATCATAATTTTATAAGCGCTAAAATCTAAAACAAAAACAAAAACAACAACAATAAGAAAAAAACAGAGCAAATGATGTGCAGTTCTCCATTAACACAAATCACGTGACAGTGAGGCTCCAAAAGGGAGGATCTGAGTACACCATATCCCGTTAATTTTTGGCCTAAATATCTCATATTCTGTCAATGCTATTTCAAAAGTTGACAATTTTTCTTCTTGATATCCCGGGATATCTGTTTTTAATATCCCATATCCCATTAGTTCCCCCCCCCCTAAAAATACTGGGTTCAAGATATTGGACACGATTTTCAATTATTTTTTTCGTGAACATAATTTACTCAGTTCTACTTTGCTTTAAGAAGAGTCAACAAGACAACGTCACGTTTATTTAGTAAGTATTTATTGTAAATTTTACGTTCTTATTTTTTTGTCTACTTAATTTCTATGTATGTAATTATTAGTACGAAGATATGCGCTAACTTAGCGCAGACTGAAATCGCCTTTCTCTTTTTTGTTCTGCTAAACCGTCAGGCTTAGAATCATGTTTAGCAAAAGAAAAGAAATATTTGGTCATAGACAGCAATGATCTGTTAACGACTGTCTCATTTGTTTTTTTTTTCAGTGTTGAATGGAACAACACCGTTTTCATTGCGAAAGCCTTACTACAAAGTTTATAAGCCGATAACGCGCATTCTTGTTAAGTCCTTTGGGGGAGAGTAGGCCGCGTAAGAAACTACGACGGTGCTTTGTATGGCTTACGTTTAACTTACGAGCCTCGCAATAATTTAAAGTCATTCAGTGTGCCCATTACTGTCAGAGCTCGCTGAAAACTGAATATTAAGGCAGCGTAGAATTAGAAAACTAAAACCAAATCGGCCGTTTTGACTCACGTTTTCTACACTTCACAGAATCCGGTCATTTCACGTTGTTGTTTGGCAAATGTACCAAGATTTATGAACCACTTGTAACCTACACAACGGTAGATTGTCTGTGGTAGGAACATGTTCCCCAACATGGAAGCAAGCTGGCGCAGTTGTCAAAGAAACAACAAAACAAAATCATTCATTTTACATAAAAACATACTTTACAGTAAACCTTCCATTGTAATGAAAGGCTCTCAATCTCTCTTGAACGCGCTCTAGTCTCCCTCCTTCCCTCCCTAGTTCTACCCCGCCCTCCCTCTTTTTCTTTCTGCCCCCCTCCCCCAAACGTTGTCAGTCTTTGTGCCTCTTATGTCACGCTTAGCGTTGTTTAAATAACTGTGAATAATTTTGAACGAGCGATATACCTTCAATGATGTGGTTTGTAACGATGAGAACCCTTAAGAGATTTGAAATCTGTCATCTGAATAAAATCTATGAATGTTTACAGAGCAAAGTTTTGAAAACCTTTATATTCTGTTTTATACTAGTGCAGAATCGTATGTCATCCGTTTAATAGGTGATATTTTAACATGTGAAAATCATATCATGGTAAAATTAGTGCTTTTATTAACTTTGTCAGACGTAATTTTTGAAATCGCACCGGTCAAAAACGGACGCCGAGAACACTACCTGAACTGAAACTAAATAAAATTGGATTCCACGCAGGATGTCACACCGATCATCGAAGGCCTGCCGAGAAGACTACCTGTTTTAAAATGGAATAAAATTGGATTCAACCTAGGACATCTATATAAGAAAGCCCAATCGTCAAAACACCCTAACTAGTGCTTCCAATTTTAAAAGCCAAACCTTTGTCTCAGTAATTTGGACAATGTGTTAATACTAGCTGTTTGGCTGTGGAAGAAATGTTTTTTATATCGATCAAGAGTTTAATTAAAAATTGCACTATCACAACAAATTACTCTATGTAAAATTAGATTTTCGCTTGCTTATGTTAAATTTCCTTGAGGGACACCTTGCTTGCTATTGTCTATGAAGTTTCATTTTCATTATCATAGGGTAAAAATGGATTTTCAATTAGAACAATACAATATTTCTAGTAGCGAAAGAGAGAATACTGTGGGATGTCTAAACTATTTAATTATTTATGAAAACTTTTTTCATACACAAAATATTTTTTATTTTAATTTCAAAAGGAGAACCAGCTGCAGTAACAGATATTAGTGAATATTCTATTGAGAGTTGAATAAGGCCAAAGATGTCTTTTCTTCGATTGATCGCAATTGCCAACATTTTTTGGTACAATGTACAAAACCACGCCATATCTGGAATGAACAAAAATGGCCATACTTGGTTCTCGATAGGCACAAATGAAGCTTTCTCGCATTTTATCCAACATAAGAACCATGTCCTTGAGGTGGAGAAAATAAGTTCTTTTCTGGTTGGCTTCGTAACGGAGTGCGCTTTGAGGTGTACAACTCATGTTTTGTGTTTGTCATTTAACATTAAGGAAGATAACACAGAAAACAGCAGACAAATTACATGCGAGCTTCTGCCAACGGACTTGTACAACGCGTCACGGAAACTTCAAAAAAGCCGAGAAGACTTTCACCACTGGAGTGCAATAGTAAGATCTATGCTTAAATGTTTTCCTTTGCATTGTACTCGGTGATCTAATCTATCAGTATAAAACCGGACACAAGGTTATTTATAATGTATGTTAAGTCATTTTTTGTTTGGTGTTCATCGGCGCAAATTAAACTGTACTCAAAGTAGTTTCGTCACGGTAAAAGAGGCTGAGGGAAGAAAGCTTCTTCAATCGAAGATTTGAAAATGTAATTATATGGCCTTTCATCCGACACAAATAGGACCAATAAGTTCAAATTTCAGTCAACAAAATTTACTTCTCTTGAATAACCTCTCCACCTGTTAATGCTTAAATATCGAACTAGCTTAAACATACGAAAGAACATTTTGTTTTAGATTTAGGAAATTAATAGGATCATAATTTTATAAGCGCTAAAATCTAAAACAAAAACAAAAACAACAACAATAAGAAAAAAACAGAGCAAATGATGTGCAGTTCTCCATTAACACAAATCACGTGACAGTGAGGCTCCAAAAGGGAGGATCTGAGTACACCATATCCCGTTAATTTTTGGCCTAAATATCTCATATTCTGTCAATGCTATTTCAAAAGTTGACAATTTTTCTTCTTGATATCCCGGGATATCTGTTTTTAATATCCCATATCCCATTAGTTCCCCCCCCCCNCCCCCACCAAATATCCTGAATCCCGTTAATTTTTTACCTAAATATCCTATGTCGCGAAAACTCCTAACAGGGCCTCGATGTAGACGCTTTTCTCTCTACAACCAAAACTGAGGTTCAGCTGTTAACTATTGTTGTACACGGAGTTAGGGTAGACAGGATAACAGATTGCTCCTGGCAATCTCTTTGTAATGCTTTTTCCTTAGACTCCTTGCCTGCATTTTCCATGCAAAAACGGTGGAACGTGTGTTCCTGATTACAGCCAAGGACTGTATGTATGTCGTTGTCCCATCGGTTACCATGGAAAAAATTGCCAGCTGTTACAAAAAGTTGCGGGTAAGTAAACCAAAACAACAACAACAACAACAACAACAACTATAAATACTTTAATACAACTGCAAGTACTTGACAGTCATTATTGTTAGCCACTTATTCTGTTTAGTTTAGTTTAATGAGTTCTTCACCAAAATGCAGGAACAGATAAATTCAAATAGATAAACAACTAACTTCAAATAGGCAAATATATTCATTATTTTAATATAAACTAAGAATTGAAAAAAAAAAAAAACCCAACAGATTTAATCACATAGTGCCAGGTTACTCAACATTTTAAAGTTATTAACTGTCTTTCATAAACAATGTAACCCGTTTTTGAACGGAATCAAAGGAAAACAAGAGACTTGCGGCAAATAACTTTTTTGGCGAAAAAATTAAATAGCTGAAGCTCTGGCCTCTTGCGGCTATTGGCAGGATAAAAGGACTACTCTTACGGACTTTCGCGCAGTCTTTGGCAGTTCAGCATACGTAGAGTCTATGCTCCTCTTTCTGCCGCTCTTTGCATCCACGCATTGAGTGTCGTGGGCACTTTTCTTGCCTCAAGCTCGGCGTTCGCATGCAGTGCGACCTGAACTGAGGCTGAGTTATAAGTAGAGGGGTTTTCAATTGAGTTTCGTAAAACCAAAACCAAAGTAATCACTCTAAGCAATCGCAAATAACAAGGGCAATCCAGTGAGCCAATCAAAACCCGAAGTACTTACATGTAGCTGAGGCAAAGCGCGGGAAAACGTGTGAGCGAGTCATGATTGGTACGTTTTGGTTTTACTTCTGATTGGAAAAAAATGGCGTCAGTTTTCAAGCCAATCATGTAGCTTGGTAGATGCAAAACCAATTCGTTTTGGACACTCAAATGAAAACCGCTCTAAACGGGCTTAAAAAGACGCAGAATCAATTCTGCGAGTTTCAAACGTAATAACAGCTAATCTAGAGTACGACTTTCGAACAATTAGGCCTGGGAAAATACATTAGTGAACCAGGACTATCATGCAAGGATATCGCAGACAGGCACGTTTACTCACAGGGGAATGGTGAGTACTGGATTGCACCTGATGGCTCTAAAAACTCATTCATAGCTTATTGCGACATGGCAACTGACGGAGGTAAGCGCGTATTTGTATCATATGATTTCAGACTGCAATATCAAACGTGTATGAGGTTAAATCAAGAGAAAATGAGGGGAAATTTTCTCTTGGTTAAATGTATTATAAAGTTACTGATAGCTGGACCTAAAAACAGCAAATAGTATATAGAAATCGTTTGTCATAGCTTGAAATTATGTCATTAGTACTCTTGATTACCAGTCGCTGTTCAGGAAAGGAGCCCGCGCTCCTCTCCTCATCTCAGGGATGAACGTAGACCAGACACGAGGGAGCGGCGGAAATCGAGCCTACGTCCGAGATAAATCAGTAAAATAAATAAATAAATAAATAAATAAATAAATAAATAAATAAATTAATTAATTAATTAATTAACTTTGTTTCACGAGGGTAACACACAACAGTCTTACGACTGACAAACGCGTGGCCCTCGAATTCCCGATCGAATTGGAATTTAGAAATGTTGATTTTTGTGGAGGGAGGAAAACCGGAGAACCCGGAGAAAAACCCTGTAAGCAAGGCGAGAACCAACAACGTTCTAATATGCAAACTCAACCCACATATGGCACCGGGTCCAGGATTTGAACCTGGGCCACGTTGGTGGGAGGAGAGCGCTCTCACCACTGCGCCATTCCTGCTCCCCAGTCGAGAGAAGGAGACAGAAAACAACATCCAAGTGGAGAGTCACGAAAGAAAAAAAAGCATTTCATTGGTATCACTAGATTTACCAAAGCAGTACATTTATTAATCTTATTAAAGTAAATATGATTAAAGATATGATAGGTCCACACCAGCTATTATGTTTCTACTAAATGACCCATATAACAAATAAAGCATGTGAGTATGTATCTCTTAATTAAGACTTCAGTCAGTGACATACTTAAATTAGTTCAAAATCCGAAAAAACATAGACCCCCAAACAATAATTTCCTGGAGTGAAAAAACAACAAACAAAACAAAAAAATTAAAATATCCCATAGGTGTTAATAACAACGAGGGGTGATTCAAAACCGGAGAAACAACAAAAAGTTCATATCTTTTAATTTTCTAGGTGGATGGACCTTGCTGAAACGCTTTACTATTCCACAGAACCTCACGGAATTCTGGACAAAGACCCCTGAGTATGTCACAAGTTACAGTTCTATTTCAAACTATGAGGATAATTTCCTGTTCGTTTCGATTAGAGCCATCGAAGAACTAAGACAAGCAGTCAACATCACACAGTTGAGATTTTACTGTTTCAAGAAGGAGCAAGGTAGCCTTGTTCACGTGATGACAAAAAACAACTCCGCTGGCTACCGCGTACTTGATTATTTCTTGGTTAAAGCGAACACTCGCACTGCGGCGTGCGGTTCGTTCGTCACACTCCCGGATGACAACTCAACGCTGTCACAGAACTGCGCTAGATGGGGACACAACGGCGAATACGCCGAGGTCAACGAGTGGGGCCATTATTCCCATAATGGTGAGTGGAGGCTCTATCGTGAAGCCATCCGTTGGATTGGACAGAGATCGTTTTCTTTAAGTCCTTTTAAGCAGTTTTGGTGTGATGACGAAGCTAATCAGAACCCAGTCTCACCGGGCGACACTTGGGAGATCTATGCTCGTTAGGTTAAGAGACTGCTGAAGACTGCAGAACAACGTTAGAGAAAGACCTGTGAGTGGAAACTCTACGAACCTGTACGTGATTGACCAGCCCAGCCAACAGACATCCCTCTCTTAGTTAATCAGTAGAAAAAAAAAAAATAGTTTATGATTCTTAAAGTGATAGCTGTCATAAGTCAAACGTATCAGGAATCAGTTCAGAAAATAGTCCGTCGTTAACACTAAAATTAACTAAAACAGTTGCGTACGAGCCAAGTGGCCCGTCAGACCGGAGCTTATCCCGGTTTCTGGCTGTAGCATGAAGCGACTGGGAATATTTCTACTACCCTCTGGTTGGGATGCTAGTCCAGCGAAGTTTTACCCCCTTTAAATTCGCCTTTACCCATTTATAAACCAGGGTGGAGAGAGGCACTGTGAGAGTAAAGTGTGAAGACATGATTGATCATCGCAGTTAAATCTCATTGGTTCTGTGATTTGTTGCTTGTATTCGTTGATAGACACGACGGTGTGCACTGGGATTCAATGCTCTAAAGGAAGTCATTCTATATTTTTAGCTTGTAAATACGTAAAGTTATGTAGGTTTTGGGACTACAGCCCTTTATAGTGTCCAATAAAACAGTTAGACGATTCGCCCTCTTTCTCTAGGAGCGATGTACTTTCTTTGAAATAGCGTCGCTGTCTATTTCATTTCAAAAAATTTTTAGCGAAAACTGTAGCTGCTTGTTAACAGAGGCTTATGCAAAAATAAAACATTCATCCCATTAATTAGTCGGCGTATAATAAAACCAAAATGTAAAAAAGGCTTTCCTCGACATAATGATGCTAAGCTTCATGTAGATATAAGCTTAATAAACGATATTTGTCATGCAATGTTCATACAATCTTTTGGTGAATTTTTCATTTTTTTAAAGCTGCTACCTATGTTACATCTATTTCATTTCGGTTGCCTCCCATGCCAGTCCACCCATAAAATAGTTAGAATGGTGTAAAAAATGACAGATTATTAATTTTGTTAATATGTAGTGGCGCGTTGAAAGGAGTTTCGTTTAATCAGCCTTCAGCTTGTTTGCTTTTCTACAGACAATGATATATATTGTTCCAGTAGTTTTTATTGAATTCTACTGTTGTCCGTTCTAAGTTATATTAAATCTCCTCATAAAACGGTGCTATATCAATTTTATCTCTATTACTATTAACTGTCATGATACCCCAAAGCCTATAGAGGTATTCCAGTAAGTTTGTGCTCAAAGAAATAACTGTAGCATTAAAAGCACACACGGTTTCCGATGTCACGGTTTCTTCCAAATTAATAAGTTCCCTTTCTGTTGTTTTAATTGTACTAAACTTCTTGAATTCTACACAGCTTGTGAACCGTGTTGTCTGGAGTCTATTTTCTGGATGGCCTTGCATCGAACTCTCTTACGCGCTTCCTCTTGCCCGATGACGAAGACTTCCTTAGTTTCGCGATGAAAGTACAACTTTTTTCTATTGCAACAACATTTGCACAGCTTGCTGAAAATAAATCGAAAGCCTACACGAAAATTATCGTTGAAAAACGAGTAAATTGCAGGATTGAAGGCACTGTTAGCATATAGGAGAAAAATTGCTACGAACACATACGTACCGCTACAGATCATTTCGTTCGAGTAGTAAGAACAAAATACCCAACCAATCCAATAAGGAAGAAAGCAACAGTAAAACGCAACTACTATCATGGCAACCATTTTAAGAATTCGTTTGCTTAGCCGCACGCTGTTGCGAGTTCTGAACGAAATTCGCATTCTGGGCGCTTTACCGGCACGCCACAGTCGAATAGCAATTGCAGCATACAAGGCAACTACAAGAAGCAATGTTAGTACAAGCAGTGATAAGAAAAACAAATACCAAATACGCCAGTTGTTGAAAAAATGTCGAGTTTTACAAAACAGGTTTCCGTTTTTCTCCAGCAAGTTGGCGTAGTAGAACAAAGGCACGCAGTAGGCAGCTGACGCCAGCCAAGCCATGATTATAATTTGGCGGGCTCTTATCACCGTGATTATCTTCCGGCGAGGATAAAACACCGCTAAAAAACGATCTATAGCCACCATGGCAAGATGAATGATTGAAACGTTCATGCAAAGCTTCTCGAAGTAGTTGGTGGTTTTGCACAAAAATATACCCAAGTGTCCTCCAATAATCCACTGACCATTGACGAAGATTCTTGTGATTCTCTCCGGTGTACTTCCCAGTGTAAGCAGTAGGTCCCCGGCTGCCATACTGACAATGAGCATGCTGTTTACTGTGCGGAGTTTTCCATTGATGTTCAGTTTGAAAGCAGCTATGACCAAAGAATTGCCGATGATAGAAAACGCGACGATTACACCATAAGCCATGCATTTGAAGCCTTTTTCAATCGCTGAATTATTCTCTGGGTAGAGACCGGGAGAACTTGGATCTCCACCGGTTTCATTACCCATGGAGTCTTCACCCGACATCAATTCCCAACCGGAGCGGTCTACTTCTATTGATTTCTTCGCTGGGCTTCACTTTCCTTTGGGTTCAAGGTTCCTGTTAATTCATTTATCCCCTTCAGGGGGTCAGAGAAAAACAGCTAATAGTGAAATTTCCATTTTATCAACACAATGGTTTTTGTCAAACGCACCCGGTATCAGCATCTAGCTGAAAATTGAATAATGTATTCTGTTTAGTCTTACCTCTATTCAAGGATAAGGATTACCTGCAAAATTTGAATTTTCGTTAATTATTTGTATAGACAGAAATTTTAGTATTCTACCAAAACCAATAAAACATTTAATATTCGGCTTCAAATATGTAAACAGATAGATTTTCTTGGAAATGGTTTGGAAATTATAACCGTGGACAAAAGTTGTCATATGACGGGAAGCTACATATCTACAGAATATATCATTCAATTTTTTCGCGTTCGCTTGGGGATCATATCATGTTCTCAACAGCGCAAAAGAGGTTCAACAACCAAGAGCATTGTTATTACTAAGTTTGAAAATTGACACCTTTCATTGCTATAAAGGACGGACAAGAGATATTCATTAGGCAATCATTATATTTGTGCACATCACCTCTTCAAAGCAGTTAGCAATGATAATACATCATTTACGTTTTCTGTTTTAAGAATCTGGTGTTTTAGTTTTCAGAACGGCTGCAAAACTTCATTTGCTTGTCATTCGACTCTAACAATAACAAAACATTAGCATGGGCAGGTGGAACTATAAAGCAAGCGACTTTCCTCCTTATGGCAACTAGAATTAAGCAGGCAATTTTCCTCCTTGTTGCAAGTTCTGAACGGATGTTTTCGTCAAGGCAAAAGGCTTGAGAGTATGTAATTTTCCTCAAATTTCAATGTTTGTCCTGTTTTATACCGAACGGAAGACACTTCTAATTAACGCACTGAAAGCTCTCATATTGCGAGTGTCAAATTTATACCTACAGATTGACATTTTGACGTATTAACTTGAAGAAAGAAATGTTGCAGAAAGACAGGAGAAAAGTTCTAAAAATGAAACATAAAATTATCAGCATGTTGCCTTTTATGAATAATCAAAGATTTCTGGATTTCTGGATTTCCTCATTTTTAATAGGCTAATAGGAACATCGGAGAATTGGAGAATTGGAGAATTGGAGAATTGGAGAATTGGAGAATTGGAGAATTGGAGAATTGGAGAATTGGAGAATTGGAGAATTGGAGAATTGGAGAATTGGAGAATTGGAGAATTGGATAATCGGGGAATGGGCGAATCGGGGAATCAAGGAATCGGGGAATCGGAGAATCGGGGAATCGGAGAATCAGAGAATCGGCGAATCGGGGAATCGGAGAATCGGGGAATCGGAGAATCGGGGAATCGGAGAATCGGGGAATCGGAGAATCGGGGAATCGGAGAATCGG